CCTTATGCTCATCCAAACTTGGCTAATACTCATTTTTTCTTGACAATAGTTGATGACCACAGTTGTTGTACTTGGACCTTTTTACTCAGATATAAAACTGAAGTTGTTTCACTTTTAAGAAATTTCTTTTCTCTGATTAATACACAATTTAACAGTACCATCAAAGCCATTAGATCTGGTAATGGTACTGAGTTTGTGAATCAAGATTGCTTAGAATTGTTTTCTTCCTTAGGCATCATACATCAAAAAAGTTGTGCCCATACTCCACAACAAAATGGAGTTGTAGAAAGAAAACATAAGCATATTCTACAAGTAGCTAGATCACTCATGTTGCAAGGATCTCTTCCTAAGAAATTCTAGAGAGATGCCATATTGACAGAAACGTATCTCATAAACAGATTGCCTACTTCTCCTTTACAGTGAAAATCTCCTTATGAGATTCTCCATTCAAAACAACCAGATCTTCCCCATCTAAAAACCTTTGGACGTCTTTGTTATGTCACAAATACAACTCCACATAAAGATAAATTCCAATCAAGAGCCTTTAAAGCTGTATTCATTGGATATCCACCTGCACAAAAGGCATACAAAGTGTATAACCTTGAAACTCATAGAGTCACTATTAGCAGAGATGTCATTTTTCAAGAGACCATCTTTCCTTTTAAGGTTCCTTCAATCTCTGAGCCTTCTATTCCCATTCCTATTGTCTCTTTTGACACTACTACTTCCTTTGATTTCGTTCTACCTGAATCCAATTCTGAACATTCTCATTCAAAACATCCTTTGATTCATTCTTCTCCTATTACCACTTCTTCATTCCATCCTAACGCTACTCAGCAACCTCCTGTTAGAGTAAGTCTCAGCACAAAATGGCCACCCAGTTATCTAGAAGATTATGATACTTCTTGTCACACTGCTTCCTCTTCCTCTACATTCATAGTTCCTGAAACATTTCCCTATGTTCAATCTTCTCGTATAGAACCTGCATATCTTGGTTTTCTAGCCAATCTGTCTCCGTATTTTGAACCTCATTCTTATAAATAGGCTAGTACTAAGAAAGTATGGCAAGATGCTATGAATGCAGAAATAGAAGCTTTGGAGCATAATCAGACATGGGAGCTCACTTCTTTACCTCCTGGAAAACGGCCTATTGGATGCAAGTGGGTTTACAGGGTCAAATATAAACTAGATGGCACCTTAGACAAGTACAAAGCCCGTTTAGTAGCCAAGGGCTATACACAGGTGGAAGGAGAAGATTACTTTGAATCTTTCTCTCCTGTTGCCAAATTAGTTACTCTCAGGATTGTATTTGCTTTAGCAGCTGCAAGGAATTGGTCTTTACACCAACTGGATGTCAACAATGCGTTCCTCCATGGTTACCTTGATGAGGAAGTATACATGTTGCCTCCACCGGGATATACCAAAGCTTCCTCTAATCAGGCTTGCATGCTGACCAAGTCTCTTTATGGTTTAAAACAAGCCTCCAGGGAATGGAATATTCAATTTACTAAGACTTTGCATGGTTTTGGATTTCATCAGTCTGCTCATGGTTAATGTCTTTTTGTTAAGACTACTTCAGATTCCTTTATTGCCTTGTTGGTTTATGGTGATGATGTAATCATCACTGGCTCTTCTGATTATCTTATTCAAACCACAAAAGAGCTTTTACATCAAGGATTTACTAATAAAGACATTGGTCCTGCAAAGTATTTCCTTGGTGTGGAGATTGCAAGATCCTCTTCTGGTATAGCTCTTAATCGAAGAAAATATGCATTAGACATCCTGACTAGTGTTGGTATGCTTGGCTGTAAGTCTGTTCCTACTCCTTTGCCAAAAGGTCTTGATTTACAAGATGATCAGAGTCCTCCTTACTCAGATCCTGCTCAGTACAGAAGACTTATTGGAAGACTTCTCTACCTTGGCTTTACCAGAAAAGACTTAACCCAAGCCACTCAACAACTTTCACAGTATGTTCATGCTCCTAGAGAAGTTCATTGGAATGGTGCAGTTCATGTTCTCAGATATTTAAAGGGTTGTCCCTCACTTAGTCTGTTCTATCCTAGCAACACTTCTTTTAGCCTTCTATGATGCAGACTGGGGTCAATGCATTGATACCAGGTTCTCTACTACTAGTTATTACATCTTCTTAGGTTCCTGTTTGATCTCATGGAAAACCAAGAAGCAGACAATGGTTTAAAGCTCATCTTGTGAAGTTGAATACAGGAGCATGGCTTCCACTGTTTGTGAGCTTTAATGGATCCATTACATTCTCTAGGGTCTTCACATTGATATACCTCTTCCTATTCCATTCAATTGTGACAATCAAGCCGCAATTGACATCACTGAGAATCCTACCTTTCATGAAAGGACCAAGCATCTAGACATTGATTGCCACATTGTTAGGAATCAGTATAAAGCTGGTTTCATTCATCCTCAATACATTGCTCCTAAAGCTCAACCTGCAGATCTCTTTACTAAGGTGTTAGCTGCTCCTCAGTTTCAACTTCTTCTTTCCAAACTCAGCTTCTTTGATATTCACCAACCTGAGCTTGAGGGGGGGATGTACAAAGATAGTGATCGCAACAACAATAGTGAATCAACCAATGCTGGTTGATCTTGATGAAGAAGAACAGATTGTACAGCATTTACTTGAATTAGTTTAGTTTTGTATTTTGTATAGTTATGCTGTATAGTTTATGATATTAAATCCTGTACATTCATTAGATTAGTTGTGAATTAATCTAGGTCGTTGATTAATGTACAGGTTAATTAGTTGCAGTTAGTTTCTGTATAAAACAGCATTCATTATATTGTAATAATTCAACCAATCATAATTTAATTTCCAAAATCTCTGTCTGTCTTCGTTCTTGCTTCTTCCCAAGTCGAAACCCTAGCTATGGTGAATTGCTGCTTCTAGAATTTTCAACTATCAAAAACTTAAATACTACACCTAGAGAAACCAAATTTTCCAATTATGTTTTGTTGTACTAGTCTGCATCCAAGAATGTTCTCGTCTCTCAATGATTTAAATTGCATGCATCCAATTACCTTAGTAAACGTGTTGTTAGTTTCCTGAGGAATAGTTTCTTTGTGTTGTCTACTGGGGCTACTAGGTTCCCGCCCTATCATCTCCGATGGACAAATTTTAGTGTTTTACATTTGGATTATTCTCCCGGGACCTAGTCATTCGAAAAAATTGACTGATCTATCAAAAAGTTTACATTTGTTGTCGATTTCATATAAATAGTTTTCCGTTATCCAGCATTATATTTATCTATCAAACTTTTACCAATTTTGTCCAATTTGACTAATCTCTGTTTAACTTAACGGATTTTTGTTAATTTTAACAACAAAGATACCCAAAAGTTTCTATACTTATAAAAATAATCTTGAAACTTTCTAAAAATAACAAAATAGCCTCAGTTCTTTTTTAATTTAATTTATTTTTTTGTTTTCTATTTCTCTTTACTAGTTTTCATACAATATGATTTTGAAAGAAATATTTATTTATTTTTAAACTCTAGTGTATAAATATATATTTTTATATATCTGTAACTCATGGTTCATTTATATAAACACATTTATTTTTTCAATAATATGGTTCAACAATAATGATACAATTTTGTTGATTTGTTTCTTTCTATCTAAAGAATAAGAATATTTAACTAAAACTAATTTTCACACGAAATTAAAATATGTAGCTTAGATTGTAAAATAATATATTGGTATATTTTAGCGGATTAAAATTTAACTCAATATATTATAGATTGTATTATACAATTAAAAAAATAAGCTAAAATATTTATTGTATTATTATATTTTAGTTCAACTAATGATACTATTTAACTACTATTTAGTTTAATTTTTTGTAATTGTTACTCACGACTTATTTAATTTTATATGAATATTAGATGTATATATCCAGTTAAAGTGTCTGGTTTGGAATTTCACTTATTGGACAATTTCTTTAAGAAAATAAGAATATAGGACAATCATTTCAGGATTGAAGGAATACGAGTTTAATAAACCCGGTTGTAGTGATGTAACTACTTGATTTTTCCCTTGGATCACTTGATGGTAATCTTATACTAGTCTGTGGAATATGTTCAAAAACCACCCAATGAATTCTCACGATCAACTTATACAAAAACTTTGTTAAAATTATATGTCAAACTCTCAGCTGTGTTTCTTAAGTACGTCTAGTAAGTTAAAATGGAAAACATGCTAGAGTGCTACCTTTTCGTTCATCAAAATTTAGAGGCAGCAATAAATTTTAAGAGCGAATCAAAGTTTGAAGTAACTTTGCAACAAGTTCTTGCGAAATTATTCAATCTTCAATTTAAAATTTCTATCTTCAATATAAAAAAAAAATATTAGTAAGAAATCACGTAGGCAGTACAAACCATCTAGTATCTCGTCAAATTTTTGAAGTAAGATTGATTATCTCCTTGATGAACACCGTTTCAAAAAATCTCCTTGATGAACGATACAGGAGCCCTGCCCCTACTAAATGGTTGTTTTCACTAGATAGTGAGAACATACGGACCACACTAGTAGTACACATTAATAGTACTGTCCTATCGTTACTTTTAATTTCCAATGTGAAAACTTTGGCGGATGGAAACTCAATGTGTACAAGTATTCTCTGGAACAAAGGTAATAAGCTTTTATTTAATTGTAATTATGAAAATATGAAACAAGTACTGCCTCCGTGCTAAAAAAATAGTTCACGTTTAGTTTTCAAATTTGTAGTAAAAAGAGTATAAAACGCAAAACTCAATTTGCACTATTTTGGTCAGACGAGGGAGTAATTAATATCAGTAACATAACATCTGAATTCTAAACTCATTCAGACAACATTTATGAGGTGTAATCCATCTTCAAGAAATTAATTTCCAATAAATGCAAAAAGATTACACGGCCAAACATTTCCATCCAAATATACACATATATAAACACATTTCACAATTGACGCTCAAGTAAAAGACATTTCATCATTAAGCATATGTATACAGCCGAAAGAAAAAAGAAAAAAAAGGCATGGCTCAAACTAGGTTTCAATCTCCCCTGCTGCTACTAATGAGCATGATGCTAGCCGGAGTAGCCCTTGCGGAAATTGTACCGTCTCCCTGCAATCCTGGTCCATCATATGATGGAAAAATATGTGAAAAACTAGATCCAAAGAACCCTGTTGCCATTGACGTTGTGAATCGTGCGATCAGGTGGAACTCCTACTTGCAGAACCTCACGTCTGTGGTGGTCCTTCAGGGCGAAGCAGAAGTTGATGAGGGTGCGGTGTTGAAACTACTTATTTAAGCTCGCAATGGAACTGGTAGTGTTCGGTATTATGAGCTTAAGTGTGATGATATGGGTGGCGTTGAAGAGTTCAAACAATTGGCTCGTCCTTCGGATTTCGTTTCAATGTGTGGGTTCAAGTATTGCTACTGAGAGGAAAAAACCAAAAAAAAAAAAAAAATGAAAAGAAAAGAAAAGAAAGAAAACCCGAAGTTTGACCATAAGTAAACATCTACAGTACCGTCACTATTGTGTATGATTACGAGTACTAAAGGAAAAAATTCAAGCAAACTGTAATTTAATGACACAAAGGAATGGCAATTCCAACTTTTAGTATTTGAACCAATGCCAGCAATTGTGTGAGTTTTTGTTTTTATTATTATTATTATTATTATTATTATTATTATTATTATTTTGGCCTCCATGGCCTGTTGAGAATATAACCTTGTCCCACATGGATAGATGGAGACTATTGAAACCAATATATAACCACATGTGCTACTCCCTTTATTACCAATTGGTTTTAAGGTGTAACCACATGTAGACCTATATTTGGACCTTCAAGATGGTATCAGAGTAGGTTTTTATCCACGGACCTGTGTAACTTGTGGGACGGGCTTTGACTGACCTGGCAGTTATATTCGAAGTCTGATTTACTCACCTGTTTAGACCTTCTACTACTACATACCCAAATCGAGGCTTTTTATTTCTACTTCTTCTACTTCCCCAAATCTGAGTCTTCTATGCCTACCTCTTCTACTTACTCAGTTATATCTGGGCCTTTACTGATCTGGCAATTTATACAGTTATCCAACTCCTTCGGTCTTGAGAGGGGGTGTTGAGAATATAACCTAAACTCACATAGATAAATAGAGACTCTTGAAACCAATATATAATCATGTATACTATTTCTTTTATCACCAATTGATTTTAAAGTGGAACCACATTTGGGCCTATATCTAGTCTTTAAGATGGCCCATGCCATTACTATCCGTCTTGCGCTTACCCGACGTTGTAATCGATGTATAGAAATTGAAAAGAATGTTGACGAATCCCACTTCTCAATGGCTTGTGAGAGTTCATACAATCATAATATGCTTTAAAAATATTGAAATGGATATTCAATGTACATCCATATCAGTATTAAAGTATGAGCATTATAGACTAGACATTGATCCCAAAAAAGTAATCCATCTTGTGTTCTGTTTTTAGTTCAATAAAGTGTGCCATTATTTTGAGACAAATGGATCGGAGCAACAAATTTAGGAAAAAGAAAAGAAAAGAAAGTGCAATAACTATGAAAATGAAAATATTAAAGTAAACTAAATATTGGATGGGATAGAATTTTTACTCGAGGATACAACCTTTTTGGAAGTCTTAGTATTAATACTGGTGTTGAAGTATTTATTTCACATTAGTGTCTGGAGACACTTTGTATCAGTATATAAGTACCACGGGTTACTCCCCTCATTGTCAATTGATTTTGAGGTGGAACTCCATGGGCTTCTATATGGTATCAGAGCGGGCTCGGTCTGTGGTGATTTTAAGCCCACGATATTATTACGTGGCCCGTGATGTTATTCTACGGTTTATTTCCTGATCCTGATAATTTAGTCCAAGCCCGTTGGGCTTGAGGGAGAGCGTTGAAGTATTTATTCCACATTGGTGTCTGGAGACACTTTGTATCAGTGTATAAGTATCACGGGCTACTCCCCTCATTGCCAATTAGTTTTGAGGTGGAACCCATGGGCTTCTATAACTGGAAGGCAAGTCAAAAATCCAATTAAAAAATTAAGTCCTATTCTATTGTGTTCATGAGTTCATCCAGCTTTTAAAATGAATTTAGATAACTTTTGAAGTCCTATTCCAACATTCATACGTTAGTGTATGCGTGAACATATGATTACAGAACTATTTTTCGGTCTCAATTTGGCCTCGTCTGCTTCTCAAGCTATATACATAATGAGAGAATTTGATCACTTCCTAAGTGAGATTTTTTGCAGTACGCTCACACTTGTGAAGGTGAAAAGGAAACTTTACTGCTTAATATTATTTCATTTTCGGTCGACTCAAATTTTCATGATCGGTTTGAACTCTTCGAATTTCTCCATAACCCCGTTTGAGTTAATTGTGTTCTTCATTCTTTCATTAATTCTTGGTAGTTAAAGGATCTCTAGAATTGGAGTAATGTTAAATTAATCTTGAGTAGATTGTATTCCTCATTCCTTGTATTGGAAGGTCTCCATAATTTTAGTAATTTGAGAAAAATAAAAACGTGTCGCCCCGAGGTTTTTTTACCCCTTCACCATGGCTAACCCTATGAGGGATTGGGAAGAACTTTAGATCTTTTCTATTTCAGAATGGAAAGAATACAAGTTTAATTAGAGTCCAGTGGTGTTGATAGAGCTACTTGATTTTTCTTCTAGCTCACTTGTTGGTGACCTTAAATTAGGCCGAGGAATATATTCTAAAACCACGCAATGATTTTCATGATCAACTTGCACACAAACTGTACTAAAAATATCACTTGCTGGTAACCTTATACTAGCCCGAGAAATATAATCTTAATCCACACAATGAATTCTCATGATCAACCAGCACAGAAACTGTCCTAGAATTATATGCAAGTCAAAGTCCCAACTTTATATATTTATAACACCTCAAGTAAGTTGCAATGAGAAACTCGCTAGGGTAAAGTTTTTCGGAATTTTTTCCTTAAATATATTCGAAGAAAAAAACCTGGACAAAAATAAAGCTTTTAAAAATTTTGTGCACAAATTTATATGTCCCGAATTTAGGAAATTCGAATGGGGGCAAAACTCGGATTTCGGAAATCCGACCCCTAATAAACTCGGATTATTAAAATCCGACTTTGTATTACGTAAATCCGATATTAAACTAATGACAAAAATTAATGTAATTAATCTAAACCGGATTTTATAAATCCGTTTTTATGAATAAAATATTAATTTCAGGATAGAGAAAAAAAAATGTGTTGAAAAATTAAATTTGGGAAAAAACGGATAACGGAAATCCGAATATATGTAGAGCCGGATTACCGAAATCCGAATATCCTCTGTTTTCTGAAAAATGGTGACTCTCAGTTGGCTACAGACTCGGATTTTCGAAATCCGAATCCTTTACAAAAAGTCTGGATTCGGATTTCACAAATCCGAGTCTTTGTCAGAACTGGAAAAAAAAATTGGACTGGTGAACCTGTTTACAGCACCAACAACAATGAAACATTGGAAAACAGGAATTTAATGGCAACAAAACAATAAACGGCATTCGATTAACAACAAAACAAATCAAGTTTCATACAAAAATCAATACAAAAAGTACTTTAAATGTGCAAAATACATCAAATGTCTCATTTTTTCCCTTTTCCTTTATCGTGCGCATCCGGAGTGTATTTGTTTGGGCCATGCCGGATCCTGTCTCCCCTCTTAAGATACATGAGTATTGAACTCTGTTGTGGTTGCGACTGTCCATCAAACTGAGCCTCGATTTGGGGTTGGGATTGGGACTCCCCCATGGTGAGAAATTTGACTCCCGGTTGTGGTTGCAACTGTCCGCCAAACTGAGTCTCGGGTCCACCAAGGTCAAACTGAGTCTCGGGTCCACCAGCTTCTTCAAAATGAGTCTCGACGACCTGGTTGCGCGAGCCTCGAGAAGAATGTGCTTGATCCTCATTTTGTTGACCCTCAGTTTGTTGTTGCGATGTCCGAGGGGGGATTGTGACATTCCTCTTTCTTCCTCCTCCAATCTTATCTCTCGACCACGGTTTTGCTTTTTTACCCGGCGGAGGTTGTGAGGGCAAAGATGGATCTTCATCAACCAGGATTTGGGTATACTCCACCTCCATCTCATCATTTGCGCCCAAGGTTAAAGCAACATGTGTTTGATTGATGATATCGTCCAAATGCTTGTCAAGTTCTTGGTCAAGGAGATTATCATCTTCTCGTTTTTCTCTAAACCTCTCGGTACTCACACGAATGTTGTTCAATACTTCACCCTGAAAAGAAATTGGAACGTTAATTAAGAGAGTAAAGTTCTAAAAAAATAAAAAATGAAAAAAAAAAATGAAAACATAAGAAATAATAAAAGAAATCTAGAATTAACTCACATATAATTTCACGCGGCTCGAAGAAGTCTCGTATCCTTGAGGTTCATAATTACCGGGATTGGATATCAGTCTGACAGTGTTCACCATGAACCATTCATAGTACCCCTCATATACGGAACCAGGATCTCCTTCCTCCAAATCTCGTAGCACGAACTCTTCTCTCCAATTCCAATGACGACATACTGCGGAATGGTGGTCCACCCAATTATTGCTAGGATACCCAGACATACTGTGGGCGTGATCGAGAAGGAATAATGCGTTATCTTTAATCATGGGGTGCTTGGGAACATCATGTATGTATCCAAATTGTCTTACGACTCTGCCCGACTCATGGGGTTCCATAATAGCCCAACAGAACATCCAACACCTAGTCGTCCAAATGGCTTGGCCTTGTGTATAGAAATCAGGGAGTCTATGAAGGACATGTGCATATGGTTGCCACCGAAACTGCACGAAAAGAATTTCATTAGATGGTACAACCGAAACAAAAAGAAAGGGGTAATTGATCTCAAAGTAAATATAAATACCAAATTACAAGTACTTAAATCTTCAACACGCAGACTTGTTAATTGATCTCTAAAAGATGGAGTGCTGCTCCTTGGGGCATCGTCGTAGGTGTATCTACATGCCCACCTTAATAAACAAAGGGGTACATTTGAATTAGTGAAATAAATGAATAAGAAACAAATAAAAATAAACGTTGAGTTATTTTGAACTGAAAATACGTACCGCTGAGCTAATGGAGCGGTCTCATCAATCAAATAATCTACTCCTTTTCTTTGTGGCACGATCCTCTCGATCCGCTCATACGCCCATACCTAGTAAATTGCAATAATAATGTTAAAACTTCAAATTATAACATCGAAAGCGAAAAATAATTAAAACACAAAATGAAAACTAAT